GGCGACGCCAAGCTCACTCTTCCATGAGCCGTTGAAGCGAGCAGGTGACCAGACTGATCATATCGTTCATGTCACTTATTTTCTACCAGTTGCTGTCCCCTACCCCCCCCCCCCTTCAACAACTGGCAGATAATGGGTTTCGCGCCGTGGCAACTCATATCGCCTTACATGCCCCTTTACCGCAGCGAACTAGAATATACGCCCGTTTTTCAGCACCATAAAAAAGACAGCAGTTCTTCGGATTCTTCTGACTCCAGTGAAGAGAAGAAAGAGAAGAAGCACGGGAAACATTGAAGCGACCAACATGCAACTAAGCAAGGAATGAACGCTCCTGCTCAGTCTACAACTCCTTCACGCGATGTCGCAACATCGAAGTGATTTTTACCACTTTGATTTTTTTCTGAATAAATGTATATGAGACGCAGGTAGTGAAGTGACAGGTGGCGCGCTTACTACTCGCGCGACCCTGTGCTCCCCGGGTCGACTCCAGCCAGGCCATCAAAGCCTTTTACTCCCCGGGGACGGTAAAGTGGTACCAGAACCCTATGGGATGGTGAGAACTCGGACCTCTACCTCGACGGCCCCCTCAACGCATTGTAGACCATATCGCCCGTCACTAAGCCACTAGGATCCTGAATGGCAGTAGAACGCGTGCTGCATGCCCCAAAGGGAATGACGATAGCGGGAGCTTTATCCTTTTTTATTCATGCCTGTATAGAAGTTTTTTATAACAAACCCTCTTGGCTTCCATTTCGTGATGGGTCTAGGCTTTTACACCTTATTCTGCCGAACCGATGGTTTAAATTTCCTGAAGTTTAAAGTTTTTGAAAGTTTCTTGTACTCCCACATAGTTGTAAGTGGGGAACAATTCGATGGTAGTGGACAATTCTGCTTTGCCGAACAATAGAAGTGTTTTACTGTGAAACACTTGTGTGCTATTACATTTACTCTGGGAAAAACATATGGAAAGAACATGGCATGTGAAATGGTGATCCAAAGTTATGGCTTTTCTTCATGAGGGGAAACTGCTGTCAGTGTTGCCACTTGCTCAATATGGCTTGCCCGAATCAGGTACTTGTCCAGTGCCCTCATATGGATCTTGGGTTGGCTCAGTTGCTTGTCCAGTGCCTTCAGATGGATCTTGGCTGTGATCAGGTATTTGTCCAGTGCCTTCATATGGATCTTGGGTAGGCTCAGTTGCTCTGTTCGGTGCCTTCGGATGGATCTTGGCTGTAATCAGGTATTTGTCCAGTGCCCTCATATGGATCTTGGGTAGGCTCAGTTGCTTGTCCAGTGCCTTCAGATGGATCTTGGCCGTGATCAGGTATTTGTCCAGTGCCTTCATATGGATCTTGGGTAGGCTCAGTTGCTTGTTCGGGGCCTTCGGATGGATCTTGGCTGTGTTCAGGTATTTGTCCAGTGCCCTCATATGGATCTTGGGTTGGCTCAGGTGCTTGACCAGTGCCTTCAGATGGATCTTGGCTGTGATCAGGTATTTGTCCAACATATAAAAAAATAAAAAAATAATAAAAAAACGTGCCTTCATATGGATCTTGGGTTGACTCAGGTTCTCCAGCGCCTTCAGATGGCTCTGGGCTTGGTTCAGGTACTTGTCCGGTGCCTTCAGATGGTTCTGGGCTCTGTTCAGGAAATTGTTCAGTCCCATAAGTCGTCGACTGTTCTTCTATAGATGGTTCAGGAGACGTATCCGTTGGCCATGTGGTTGTTGATTCATCTACTGATACTTCTTCTACTGTAGTTGGTTCAGGAGTTGTATCCGCTGGCCAAGTCGTAGTTGATTCTGTGATGATAGGTAATTCAGTCGTCGTGGTGGTGGTGGCGAGGGTGGTAGTGCGATGTTTCCTGTGCTCCCATTCATCGCTAGAGTCCCAACCGAACCGTCCTCCGTGTTTGTGAGGTTTCTGAAACAGCCAAGAATCAGTCCCTTAAAGTTGTTCTGCAAAAAAATACTGAAGATCTGCTCAAATAGTTGTTACCTTGTGCCAGCCGTGATGCCCATGGCCCTTGTGTCGCCAGCCGCCGCGCCTCCGCCAACGTGAATCGCTTGGCCGAGCCAAAGCGATTGCCAGAACGGCCACAGTCAACACTAGAGTAACCTTCATTGGATCCTGTTGATCTTGGTAGCGATGGCATTTTATACTCCCTTTCTGCGGTCATCATAGAGCAATTCTCATATGTTTGATTTTGTTTGTATAATGCATAGTTACATTAGCGCACATTAATTTCTCATGAGATCACATTTGAAAATTTATGGGAACCGTGCGGTCGCTGACGTTGTGTAGCCTATTTAAGCTCCAAATGGAGAGATATGAGTTTCATCCAGAGAGAAAAACGACTCTTCGAACTCCGCTGTTCTGGAACTTCCTTTTCCGAATTGGGGCCTAAAGCATCGCCTGGGCGCCTCACATATGAGCGCGACATTCTCACCGGATAATTGTCTTGCTATCCGCTTTCATACCAACCTTCCCCTTCTCGGGCTCCTTGCGGGAGGAGTCGCACATTGGAGCCTCCCTTAATATACATCCCTTTTCCTGTGCTCGTACACTCGTTCCATGGACTTTTCGCAGACACATTCATAATCACTGCAAACAATGGTCTACGGACAACTTGCACTCAATTACTTTGGACGCAGCTAATTCGTGTTTTTTCCTGCTCTCTCCTCCAGGTGGCACTCTATAAACATTGTGACTCGCACATTCCAGCTTTTCACGACAAATAAGTGGCTCACCCACCCTGGGGTCCCCTCCATTTGAAAAAGTTCGTTTCCTGCTTCGCTGTAGGTTCTTGCACGTCTCGATGCTTTGGCAAGCGCTGTCCTCTATCTGTCTGTCTATTTCCTGGTTTCGCAACAGGACCATCCACAAAAGTTCAAGATGTCACGTAACCGCACCCAGCCAGGGCAGCCTTTTGCACCAATGATAGCATCCGGAGTCCGCAACAACTGGCAGGAACAGCCCGCTTGGCTGCGCTTCAAGTCACCCTACCGTTTACAGAGATCATGACTATACAGTAGAATGATTTTTTGCTAATATTATGGAGGGAGGAGTACTTCTCTAACCAAGGATCTGCCTCATTCGGTGAAAGCCGCGCAGAGACCAGGATCAAGAACCTCGTGAAAAATTGGCCCAAATTGGCCCACAACAATCAGATTCAGAGGATTCGTCATGTGTGAGCGTCTCGCCCCTGTTCTAGATGTCTGCTCTATGGGTAAGAATAGAAGAACCGGTTCTGCAGCGCACAGCTCCAATGTACTGCAGAGATATGGGCAACTGCTTATTGAAGGCAATTCAAAGCGACTGTTTCCGATCAATAAATGGACAATCATTGCACGTCAAACTGACGCGAGAGATTTTACGAAAAAACGGTAGGCTACCACAGAAGATAGTAAAAGTAGCAGGTGGCAATTCTCGGATGAAATCGTACAGCAAAAGTATCTCAATTTCGTTTCATGTACATCCAAACCACATGGTCGTAACTCGCTGTTATTTCCAAATGTTCCGGACAGG